GGAGTACAGTGGCATGATCATAGCTTACTGTAGCCTCAAACTCTGGGTTCAAGCAGTCTTCCTGCCTCACTCTTCCTGAGTAGCTTGGCTAAATTATATTCTGAAGTTCTGAAATAGTAGATTTGTCAGTCCCTGACAGTTTATGTTTATTACAATGAAGAGGCCAATTCTTTGGATATCTTACTCCACCATTTTCTATAATGCCAGTTCTAACTTCCTTTCTGATATTATCTTGTTTTTATTTTATTTTATTTATTATTTATTGTTTTTGTTTCAGGATCCACCTTTTTACTCTCACAAAATGAGACGTCCTAGTCATGGAGGTAAGCTATTATTTGTATATAAAGTATTATAATTTTCAAATATTCAGTAAAATTGGGAACATGAACTCATATATCATAATTATTATCAAGACTATCCTTCAAAAGGTAAATTACACTATGGTTTTTTTATGGAATCATGGTATCAGTGGAAAATCAAACAAAGCAAAATACAAGTGGCCTTAAAATCAAAAAACCTAATTTTTATTTTACAAGGATTATTACAATATTAGTAAACTATTTATTACATTTTTTGTGTGTGTTTCTAAAATTTTTATCTACCCTATGTATCTATCTAGTGAGGAGGCTTTTCTGATTCAAGAAGTTGTTCAGTAATATCGTTATAAAGACACATTCAACATACCACCCAAAGGTGATAATCGAAATATTTAACAACCAATACACCATGATCCTGAAAAACCAGATCACACAGTTCTGCTGGATTAGAGTTCTGGAGGCCCACTGCTGTGCCATGTTAAGGTTGAGAGAAATGGAAGATTCCTAAGGGAATCAAGGTAGTCAGGGCAATGCATGTAAAGTGATACGTGGATACCTTGAGTCAGCAACTTTTTCCCAATGAATACAGAGAAGTATTTTAATATTCTAACAATTGGAACAGTCATAACTGTGTAGTGAATGCATATTCATTCAGAGCTGACTGTAGTAATCTAATTAAAATGAAGAGACAATAGGAAGATAGCTAAAACACTTGCTATAGTGGGAAGACGAGCAGTCACATTTCTTTATAACAAACAAGAATCTGAGTGGTAGAGAGGATTTATGGGAAGAAGAATCAGATGAAGGTGTGATTGATAAATACACTTTTTTGTTTCAGTATATTTAGGAGGTATAGTGGAGTTTTGCTACATGGATATACTATATCTTAGTGAAGTTGGAGTTTTTAGTGTACCCATCACCTGGACAGTGTACATTGTATCCAATAAGTAAACTTTCATCTTTCACCACCCTTTTAACCTCCCCACTTCTGAGTCTGCAATATCCATTATTTCACTATGTATAACCACGTGTACACACAGCTTAGTTCCTACTTATAAGTGATAACATGTAGTATTTGGTTTTGTATTCCTGAGTTACTTTACTTAGATAATGGCCTTCAGTTCCATTCAAATTGCTGCAAAATACAATATTTTTTATGACTGAGTGGTATTCCATGGTGTATGTATGTATATATGTATGTATGCATGTATAATCACATTTTCTTTATCCACTCATTGGTTGATGGGCACTTAGGTTGATTCCATATTTTGCTATTGTGAATTATGCTGCAATAAACATACAAGTACAATTGTCTTTTGATACAATGATTTCTTTTCCTTTGGATAGATATCCAGTAGTGGAATGGCAGATCTACTTTCAGTTATTTGAGAAGTCTTCATTCTATCTAATTTAGATTCCCACCAATAGTGTACAAGCATTCCTTTTTCACTACATCTGTGCCAATACCTTTTTTTTTTACTTTTTAATAATGTCCATTCTAAATATTGAAAGATATAGTTTTAGAATAAAGTCCCAAAGTGGGAAATTTAGCTTGGTTTGAACAGAATGTGAAGAAATTAAGGATTTTAACATGATTAGAATTTAATACTTTAGCCATTATATGTATGCATACATCTGTTTCATGTAATAGTAAAAGTTTTAACAACATATATTCTGGAACATAGAATGTTAGTTTCAGAAATTAATGCTTTAAATGCCAAGAAGAATTTAAGGTATTTAATCCTCAATGCAGCAGTGTTAGGAGGTGGGGTCTACTGAGAGGTGATTAGCCATGAGGGCAGAATGAATGAATTGGTGCTGTTATTGAGAGAATGGGTTTGTTATCACAGGAATGGAGTCATTATAAAATGATTTTGGCCCCCTTTTATCTCTCTCTTACCCTCTCTTTACCTTCTGCCTTCCCCTATGAGATGACACAGCAAGAAGGCCCTCAAAAGATGCTGGGTCCTTATCTTGGACTTCCCAGCCCCCATAACTGCGAAAAATAAATTTCTGTTCCTTATAAATTTTCTAGCCTTGGATATTCTGTTGTAGCAGCACAAAATGGACTAAGACAGAAAACTGGTACTGAGAAATGAAGCTGTTGTTATATAAAATACCTGAAAATGTGGAAATGGTTTTTAAATGAATAATGAGTAGAAAGGCTAGAAGAATTTTCAGGAACAGGCTGGGAAAAGCCTAAATTTCCATAAATGGAGTGTGTCTTAGCCCATTTTCCATTGCTATAAAGGAATACCTGAGGCTAGGTACTTTATAAAAAGAGGCTTATTTGGCTTAGTATGCAGGCTATATAAGAAGCATAGTGCCAGCAGTTGCTTCCTGTGAGGGCTTCAGGGAGCTTCCACTCATGGGGAAGGCAAGGGGAGCAGGCATCACATGACAGGGGGGAGGTGTGGGCTCTTTTTAACCATCAGATCTCACAGGAACTACTAGAGTGACATGACAGCACCAAGCCACAATCTATCTCCAGGAGCCAAACACCTCCCACCAGGCCCTACAGCCAACAGTGAGGACCAACTTTCAACATGAGATTATCCACACTGTATCAGAGTATTAAGGGTGATTCTGGTGAAGGCACGGAAAAAGAGTAGAGTTATAGAGAAAGTCTGAAACTTCTTAAAGAGTCCATAGGCAGTAGAAATATGGACAAAGGCAGTTCAGGTGGAAATGAAAAACAAAATATTGGAAAGTGGAGTAAAGGTCATCCCTGTCATAAAGTGACAAAGAATTTAGCTGAATTGTCTCCATGCCTGAGAGCTTTATAGATGATAGAATTTAAGAAGATAGGTGGAAGAAATTTCTAAGGAAAATATTAAGTTTCATGGCTTCTTTTAACTGCATGCAGTAAAATGTGACAGAAATGATTTAAAGACGAATTTTATAATTCAAAGGAAAGTAGAAAAGAAAGATTTTTAAAAACCCCATCCAGCCATGTAAAGAATGAGAAGGTTGCATGCAAATGTCAGAACATCCAACTGTACTTTATGTAAATTATACTTTAATAAACCTAACTTTTTTAAAAGCTTAAAAAAAAAAAAAAAGAATGAGAAAGTCTGGGGCATCACCTGTGGCTCAGTGGGTAGGGTGCCAGCCCTATATATTGAGGGTGGCAGGTTCAAACCTGGACCTGGCCAAACGGCAACAAAAAAACAACCAGACATTGTGACGGGAACCTGTAGTCCCAGCTACTCAGGAGACTGAGGCAAGGGAATCGCCTAAGCCCAGGAGTTGGAGGTTGCTGTGAGCTGTGTGATGCCACAGCACTCTACTGAAGGCGATAAAGCGAAACTCTGTCCCTACAAAAACAAAAAAAGAATGAGAAAGTATGTTTAGGAGGTAAAACCAAAAGTGTGGTAATTTGCTAAAGAAATTAGTATGAATAGAAGGAAGCCAGATGCTCTTCATCCAGGCAATGGGAGAATGACCCTGAAGCATTTCAGAGATCTTCAGGGCAAGTGAGGACCTTGAAAGCAAATTTTCCAAAGTTGCCTATGGGATCTCCACATTCACCATCCTGTGCCTTCTCAAGTGTCTGCTCCCCACATTCTGGCACAGTGTTCCCCAGTTACCCCAGCTGTGGCTCATATAGACCTGGATGCAGCTCCTGCCATCACCTCAGAGGGCACAGGTGGTAAATCTCAGCAATGTTCACCTAATGCGAATTCTGCATTACCAGTTGGTGAACTGTGCAGAAGAGCTACCTCCACCTAGATTTCAAAGGACATTGTAGACAGCCTGGGAATTCCAGCAGAGATTTGTCACAGAGAGTGGAGCTACTACAGGAAGCCCCAACTTGGGCAAAGCCCAGCAGAACTGAGGGGTTGAGACTGCCAACCTCAATAGAGACCCCAGAACTGTAGAGATGCCAGCATGCAATGCCAGCCTGGGAGAGCTGCAGTCACAAGACCCCAACCTGTGAAAGCTGCTGTGTGGGCTAAGCCTAGCAAAACTGTGCAGACAGGGCTATCAGAGGTCTTGGGGGTGCAACCCCTGCCCCAGTGTGCCCAGAAGGTGGGACATAGAATCAATAAAGACTATTCTGGAGTCTTAGGATTTGATGTTGTTCACATTGGTGGGTTTTGGACTTACTTTGCCTATCTTCTTGTCTATTTCTCTGTTTAGGAATAGGAATGTCTCACCATTTTATTTTGGAAATAGATAACTTGTTTAGTTTTATAGGCTCACAGAGAGAAATTTGCCTCAGGCTAAATCATGCCTTGAGTCTCATCCATATATGATTTGGATGAGACTCTGGACTTTGGATTTTTGAGTTAGTTTTGGAACAAGTTAAAAGTTTGGGGCCATTGGGATAAAATGAATATATCTGAATGTGAGAAGGACATGAATTTGGGGAATTGAGGCTGAATATTATGGTTTGAATGTATCCCCTGAAAAGTATATGTTGAAGATTTAATTCCCAATGCAACATTGTTGGGAGATAGGACCTTTAAGAGGTGATTAGGGCATGAGAGCTTTACCCTCATGAATGGATTAATGCTACTGCCACAGAAGTGGGTTTGTTTTAAAGGACAAGTTCACCTGTTGCTGTCTCTTGACCTCTCTTGCCCTCTTGTCTTCCACTGTGGGTTCACACTGCAGGAAGGCCCTTGCCAGATTCTGGCACCTTGATACTGGACTTCCCAGTCTCCAGAACTCTAAAAAATCAAAGTGGCAGAATCATAGCCAATGAGGCTTATCTAAGGTGTAATCATTGCTAACTGAAAACTCTTCCCAGACCCCATTGTAATGACTTTCAATATAATCAGCATTGGAAATTTTTAACAATTTCTATGAAGACTGAATTTTTTCAAAAGGAAAAAACTTTAAATTTCTATTTCTTATATATTACCCAATCTCAGGGATTCTGTTACAGCAGCACAAAACATACTAAAACAAATATCTTTAAAACTTTTCTTCTAATAACTATTGAATTCTTTCAACCATAGAAAATCTTTTGGAGCCAATACGATAGAACAAGCTTCTTATTCTACTATTTCCAACTACTTATTGGAAAAGGGAAATTAGTCTATTAAGTAATAAAAAATACTAATAAAGGCGTAAAGTAGATTGTATCCTTCCTTTACCACTAACTAGTTGACCTTAGCCAACCATTTGTATTCTGAAAGCTTCAATTTCAACCATTTGTATTCTAAAAGCTTCAACCACTAATGGTTGACCTTAGCCAACCATTTGTATTCTAAAAGCTTCAATTTCCCCTACTTTATAAATAAAAGAGTAAAACTAGATACTAAGAATAAATACTTCAGTACTTTTTTGCAGGTACCTTATTTTGTCTTCAGAACTTTGTAAATGCTTCACGTATATTAATCTCCATACAACCCTGTGAGGTTGACACTGTTATCCTAGTTTTACAGATAAGACAACTGAGCACAGAAAATCTGGATAATTCAGAAATTTTATAAAATTTGAAACAAGCCAGTGGTCCAGTTTGCTTTGAAGAGCCTTTGTTAAGGAATATCAAATTAAACTTAAGGTGTATCTAAAAATAAAAGTAAATGCTTAGGGGGAATAAAACAGAACTTGTTTCCTTATTGCCCACCACTATCTTGCTCTTGGGCAAGTCATTAACTTTTCTAGATTTTCAAGACTGTTGAGTTGCCTATTACTCTAGAAGTATGTATTTCTAAAATTATATCTGCATATCACCTTTAAAAAACTATTTAAATAAGATCCCTGAATATATATTTAAGGTGCTTTTTGCTATACTTTGCATTACACTTAGCAATTTACTCACGCAGACCAGTTATATAATTAGTCCAATAAATTATCTGTTATATAAAGATATTATATAAAATGTCTTTATCTTATATAAAATGAGATACATGCATTAAAGAGTTTATTTAGCAGTGCTCACATAGCATTTTTGCTGATTGCTTTAATTATTATTACCTATAAGCAAATTGGAGGTGTGCACCAAGCCCAGTTACTTTAGAGCTACTTTCACAGAGACCTTCTGACTCCTGGTAGTTATGCATATATATTTTAGCATAGGCCCAAATTCACTTTCCACTTTCTATATTACAATCCTCTTAGTTTGTTACATAAGACTCTTTTCTAAAGAATTCACCTAAAAAAAAATTCTAAAGAATTTTCCTAAAGAATTCACTTTAGGACCTACAGAATTATTTATGAAAGGTTTCTGGGACACAGATTGTCTACACAGCTTTATAAAGTTGAGTATGCATAGAAAGTGTATGGTAGAAAAAGTATGGCCACTAGAGGAGAGGGGAAACATGGGGGAGCTTCAAGAAGGATGAGTGCAAGCCATTTTTTATATTCCTAATGAAGCACAGCTTTGAATAATGAACATAATCTTTAGCAGCCACAAAAAGGGCCAAAAACACCAGAAGAGAAATGATAAGAAATTCAAAAAAATTTTAATGATAAGATATTCAAAAAATTTTTTTACTTTATTTTTTAAACTGACATCAAGAGCCAGAGTCAAAAATAGAAGTACTAAATACAAACATTTACTATAATATGACGAAAAGACATTCCCTTATGTACATACAAGTATAGAGTATGGTAACATTTATCTTTAACCATTTAATGTATGTATTTGAACAATACTATTAAAAATAGTAGTCAGAGTTATTAGATGACAGATTGAGGTAAAATGTCAGGGGTCAGAGGAAAGGAGTGGTAGTACAATAGTGACGATATTAACAAAATTTACATTTATTTTGTGCTTCTTCTTTTGCAGATATAGTGTTAGACCATAATGTTATAGTTTTAGCCTGTTAAGCCACATAAAACTCTATGGAGAAGGATCCTCATCCTTCAACAAATGAAGAAACTGAGGCTGAGAGAGGCAAAATGACTTGTCCAAAGTTAGATGGTTAGTTAGCTGCAAAAACTACTTGAGTCCAAGGAGTCTACTCCAGAGCCTTTGCTGTGAACTACTGTGCTCTCACAATCACTAACTAGAGATATTTGTCAAATGCCACAAGTGCCAACTTATGTATATAATCTTTTTTCATTCTTTTTCAGACTCATTAACTTCTGATAACTACGAGGAACTTAAAAAAAAAAGTAGGAAAGGAAAAACAGTGAGTAGATTGATATATCCTTTAAAAACCATTGTTAACATTTTACATTGTTTTGAATTAATATTACTGACAGTATTGTCATCAAGAAAGTATACTGCATTATTATAAATTTATGAATTTATTATAAATCAATTTTATCATTCATTTTATAATTATAAAGTCATAAATTATTATAAAGCAATGTAAATATAACATAAGTGTTAGCAGCTATGCTGTTTAATTTATTGCTTTTGCCTCCTCCCAAATAGCTATTGCTTAATAGACAAACCACAATAAAACCAAAAATATCACACAGTATGTGTGACCTCCATTGTGATATAAACAGCTTCAAAGGAACCATTCTCCTCATCCCAGTTTCCCATTAACACTTTAGGTTAACTAGTTTTAGATTCCTTTCTTTGAATCTTGAAAATTTTTAATTGCTCAATATTCAATTGTTGAAATGTCATGCCCCACTAACAGCAATAAGTATTTCAGAAATGGGATAAGAATTGTGTGACTTGTAATGAGGATCAAGCAAGAAATAAATACTGAGAAAAAAGAAATTTGTTCTACCTCCTATTTTTAACAAGAAGGCAAGAACCATGATCACACAGGGAAGAAGACTCCAGGCCCTAAAAGAAATGTTGGTGCTTTCTGTTATAATTTTCAATGAATTGACTCCTGATCCAAGACATTGGAACCTTAAACTATACTCATTTGTGAAGAGTAAGATTCTCTATGAGAATTTCTTGGACTCCATGCAATAGGGTTTAGTCAGTTTAAAGACAGCAATTGTCCAGAACATTGCTGATTCTAATAATCAGTTCAGTTGTCCCAATAAGCCATTAAAATGCCATGGAAATTTCCACACTGGCTCTTGCATCCTAAATTAGCACAAGAAGTCTATCAAATAATGTGGCCTAAACTTTTATTCAGAATCAAAAATGGCATGATATCTATAAGATATCATATTGTTATAGAAAGAACAAGATTTCAAATCTGAAAACTTGGATTCTGACACCAGTTTCTTCATTTATTAAATGAACATTAAATGGGGGCTAATTCGTGAAATACTTATGGAAATACCTACTATATAGCAGGTTAATATTTAATGAAAGTGTACTACAGGATGGGCACTATCTTAATGTTTTTATAAGCATTGTTTGTTATGTGAATTGATAGGCCCAGAGCCACAGAGGTAAGACCAGGGTCAGAATGTCTAAGAAGAGAAGGGGGCTACAGCTCTCTCAGGCACGCAGCAACCCTAGTTTATTTCTTACTCACTTATATACCCTAACAATAAAGCATTCTGCACATATAATCTTTTTTTTTAATTAAATCATAGCTGTGTACATTAATGCAATCATGGGGTACAGTGTGGTGTTTTCATATACAATTTGAAATATTTTCTTCAAACTGGTTAACATAGCCTTCATGTCATTTTCTTAGTTATTGTGTTAAGACGTTTATATTCTACTTTTAGAAAGAGTCACTTGTACCCTTGTAAGATAAACCATAGATTTTTTTTTTCATACACACAATCTTAAATTTACAATACAATAAAGTCACAAATGAAGTCAGGAGTGTTATTTATCTCTTTTTGCTTCAAGGAACAAAGTATTCGTCTGTAAAGAACTGACATAATCTTTAACTTAGCAGCACAATAACCTTATCTTGATTTACCACTACTCAGGTCTTTTCCAGGAAATTCCTGACCACAGCATGCTCTGTTTTCAGTGCGTGCCTCCCACTAGATTAGTTTTCTAATCTCTCTGGACGGTCTTCAAAGGAATGTCTCTTCCTGCAGACCTTGAGACAGTTTCAATCAAGAACAGAGTTATGGCAGCCTTTAATGTGGCTCAGCTACAGTTGTTTTACTTAATTCTCACAAAAGCAGACATTATTTACATTTTGTAGATGAGGAAATTGAGTCTCAGTGATGTTAGATAACTTGAATCAGGTCACACAGTGAGTAAGAAAGTTGGAGTTTGACCCCAGAGTGCATACAGTTAATGCACTCTTCTCTTGCTCCCCGGACCTTAAGAAATTAAAAATACATGCAAGGCTGAGCACCGTGGCTCACGCCTGTAATCCTAGCACTCTGGGCAGCCAAGGCAGGTGGATCACTTGAACCCACAAGTTTGAGACTAGCCTGAGCAAAAACAAGATCCCTGTCTCTAAAAAATAGCCCACTGTTGTGGCTGGCACCTATAGTCCCAGCTACTTAAGAGACTGAGGCAAGAGGATCATTTGAGCCCAAGAGTTTGAGGTTGCTGTGAGCTATGACGCCATAGCACTCTACCAAGGGTGACAAAGTGAGACTCTGTCTCAAAAAAAAAAAAAAAAAAATATATATATATATAATATATAATTAGCAAATGTGGCTAATGGAAACATAAGCAAAAAATTATACTGCAGCTATACTAGATGAATGCATAGGTTATTGGGGGGAGTATCCTGTGAATTATGCCCTTTGCAGGGGTACTGGAGCAGGAGAGGGTAATAAAAGGCCTTTATAACCAAAAGTGATGATGCAATGAAATAGCATATGTAAAATATTTTCCAGTGCTTTGTATAGACAACATGCATTGTTTTGCTTGAAATGAACTAAAGCCACCTAGATGTAGAATTCCCAGGACCATTCAAACAACTCATATTGTGATAGTGTCATTTAGCTAGAGAACTAGAGATTTATGTTTACTCCAATTCAAAATATTTTGACAAAGATAAATTTCATCAAAATA